GCTGTGGAGACAGGCAGGACCAGGCTCGGCAGCCCCCAGCACGCCTGGGGCTCACGGCATCCCTCACCTGTGGGAAATTCCAGCTGTGACTCGTGTTGGAATGTGCCCTGGGTGAGCAGGACCCCGTTCGGGGCATCCCCACCGGCATGTGCCAAGGACCAGTAAACAGGGGCAACGATGGCCACCAGTACCCGCATCAGGGGCCCTAGGGGTGAGGGAGAAGAAAACTGTCACCAGCACCCTTCTAAGGGGGCACCCAGCCCTCCCCAGCCAGCCCCCCTCACCCATAAGATGCAGTACACACAGGAGGTGCTGCTTTTTTGGGGGGAAAAACCCAAACCACAAAACAATCCTTTCTCCAGAGATTTTCACCTGACCTTCATCTTTCCTGGAGGGAAGAGAGGGTCAAGCACCTACCTAGGGCAGGTGGGACGCCTCTGATGCTGCTCTGGATGACAGCAGTGCCAGAGTGTGGGTCATCCAGCACAGTGGCATCAAGGGTGCTGGCACTGAGCTCGTGGGCATTGATGGCACCCACCACGCTGCCCCGCACCCGCCGTGGCTCCCCTGGGGTGAAAAAGACATGGGCAGCTCTCCCATGGGAAAGTGGGATGCTTCCCTATCTCCCCTCTCAATCATTTGTGTATCAAGAAAAGCTTATTATCTGGAGGTGAAGGCAGCCAGAACAGGGTGGGTACCTGGCTAAAAGAGCCTCCAAAGACCCTGGAACTCCAGGCAGCACCGTGCCACTTCCACAGGGGGCACTGAGTGTGGCCTTGTGGCTTTTGCTCACCAACATGCACCAAACACCCCCCAAACTCTGCTCTGTAGCAACGCTCATGGTTCTGGCCCCAGGCCCAAACTTGGATCTGCTTCTCCTCCGGCTGGTCTAGCAGCATCACGCCAGCAGCCCTGCAGGGGGCTCAGCACTGCCAGCCCGGCCCTCTGCTCCCCTGGGGAGGATGTGCCTGCGTGCTTAGCAAAGCCCCTGAGAAATAGGAATTGAATCACGAGCAGCAAATGCAGGAAGGCTGGGAGAAGTGAGTGAGGGTGCAGGCTGGCACGTGGTGGCTGCTCAGGTTTGTCTGGGCTAAGATTTTCGGATAAGCAGCAGCACAAACAGGAGAGGGCAAACCAGGGGATGAATCAAGACGTTTAGAGCAAGCAAAGAAAGGAGATATCCCTCCAAACCACCGTGCAGGTGGTCTTATCCCCAGGGAGAATGGTGCTGCAGGCAGCCCAAGCCCCTCAAGCCAGCCAGAAATCACCCAAGCCCTGGGGCAGGCACCCACCTTGGACAGCCAGGGAGACGTGGGCGACAGCAGCCCCCAGGGCATTGCGAGCAAGGCAGGAGTAGTTGCCAGCATCACTGTGGGTGACAGCAGGCAGGACCAAAGTGGCATTGGGTAGGACACGGGTGTGGGGACCCTCAGGCAGAGGCTCTCTGTCTCGTTGCCACTCCACAGAGGGGGTAGGGTCCCCTGACACGGTGCAGTGCAGCAGCACCCGCTGCCCGGTGTGCACCACCACCACTTGTGGTGTCACCATCACCGTGGGGGCACCTGGGTGAAGAGACAAATGCAGGCAGTGCCACAGATTCCCAGCAATGCCGAGACTGTTCCCTAGGGGTCAAGGGTAGTCTGGGGAGCCACATGCTTTGCAAAAGGGGAAGCAGCACTCACTCTGCAGAGCCAGGGTGACCACCTTTGCTGCCGTGCCTGCATCGTTCTCTGCCACGCACCGGTAGTGCCCTGCATCAGCGCTCTGGGGGTACCCGTGTTAGCACCACACTTGGCTTGGCCATGAAAACTCCCCAAAACACACCAGGCCCCCTCAAGCCCCACTCACCCCAACTGCACGGATGGCCAGGGAGCCGTTCTGCAGCTGGCGCAGGTGCCCACCTGCCACCAAGGGCACCCCATCCTTGCTCCAGCGGATGAGGGGCACAGGGTGGCCCCGGGCATGGCATTCCAGGAGGGCATCACCCCCGGGGGGCTCCACCTGGTAGGTGCTGGCATCCCCCCGTATGCTGGGTGCCTCTGAGGAAGGGAGAGGGACGGCAGAGGAGGAGGGCTGGCCAGGCAGCCCAGTTTCCCCGCTGCTGGTACCTACCTCTGATGGAGACAAAGGCGGTGGCCCTGACGGCACCGACGCTGTTCTGGGCACGGCAGACGTAGGTCCCGGTGTCAGCGCGGGTGGCTGCCTCCCTCCGCAGGGTGCTCCAGCCACTCTGCTCTGACACACCCTCTGCAGCATGCAAACCCACACCCCCCCAAAACGTAGTTGGGGACCAGCTGGTTGTAACCCCACACAGCCATCTGTACCAGCACCACAGAGACCCAAAGGAAAAGGGACAGGGATGGAGCCAGGATGGCATTGTCTGCCCCCCCACGCACCGGTGACAAACTGCCCGTTGGCTGTCCAGGAGATGTGGGGCTGGGGGCTGCCCGTGGCAGCACACACCAGCTCCAGGCTCTCGCCCCAGCCCAGGGTGACATCTCCAGGCAGGTGGGTGAAGGTGGGATGGGTGTGGACAGACAGGGAGAGCTGGCGGACAGCCCTGCCGGCTGAGTTCACCGCGGTGCAGGAATAGCTCCCGGCATCCCCTTCCTGCACAGGGAAAAGGGAGGATGAGGGGGGGTCAGCTCAGGTCTGGGGTCCAGCTGCAGCCCTGGCTCACTGGGCTGCATCTTTGCTGACTGTTGTGCACCCAAAAGGCCACAGCTTGGCCAGGGATGCTTTCCCCAGTGCGTGTTAGCAAACTCACAGCGCTCCAACGCCCTAGATAGCTGCAAAGGACTGAACAGGGCACTCGTTCTGCCAAATGCAGCCAGGATTAAGCTTGATTGACTAAGTGACATGTCATCCTGCCAGCCCCAGCACAGGGACATGGCAGAGCACAGAACAACCTGGGCTTTCTTTTCAGCAGCAAGAGACACTTGTTCTCCAGCTCCCTGACCTTACAGCCAAGCTCAGCTGCAGGAAGGGATGGTGCTCACCTGGACATCCCGAAGCAGCAGCTCCCCAGAGGGCAGGATGGTGGCTTTTCCCCCACCACCCCACACTGGGGCTCCCTCCCAGCTCCAGGACACAGGAGGCTCAGGGACTCCATAAGCAGAGCAGGGCAGCAGCACCTCCAGCCCCTCCAGGACAGCCAGCTCTGCTGGGCCGGCTGCGATGACGGGGGGCACTGGATGGGGCAGGGATTTGTTCACACCTTGACAGCCACGAGTCACTGCAAGGTGCTGGGGAAGGAGCTGAGCAGAGGAAGGGGCAAACACCAGGGCCCTGGTCTCGCCTCACCTTGCACAATCAGCCTGGTCCTCCCCACTGCAGTGCCCGCGGGGTTACGAGCCACACACAGGTAAGTGCCCGCGTCCCCCGGGGAGGCTCGGGGGAGATGCAGCTGCCCGTTGGGGAGCACCTTCAGCCTGGGCCCTGTGGGGATGGGTTGGCACAGCTGTGCTCTGGAGGGATGTGGTGCAGGGACTGTGCTGTGCCTGCAGAAGTGTCTCTTCCTCGGGATTCCCCAGGGAACGGCTCCAACAGCTGCAGCACCCAACTTAGACCCAGATGGGGAGCCAGGAAGACCCACACCCAGTGCCACCCAGCAACTTACTGGGATGCTTACAACATCCGGGCACACAAACTCCCCCTCCCTCCCCTCAGGCAAAGGCTGGGAAGGCAGCTGGGGCTCTGCCAGCCTCCTGCTCACCTCCAGCGATGCCAACACCGTCCTTCTGCCAGGAGAGCTCCGGCCGGGGGGCCCCGCTGGCCTCACAGGACAGCACCACGCTGCTGTTGACCATCACCATCACCATGCTGGGCAGGGGCTTCAGGGTAGGGGGCTCTGCAAGCAGCAGGGAAGTGTTTCCCACTGGAGCTCCCCTCTAAGGTGGGCCAAGACACAGGGAGCAGGATTCCCGGGAGCAGCAGGTACCGTGCACGGTGAGCCAGAGGTGCTTGCGGGCGGTGCCAGCGCTGCTCCGCGCCGTGCAGGTGTAGCGGCCCGCGTCTGCAGGCAGCACCTGCCTGATCTCCAGAGCCCCTGCAAAAGACAGCAGGCAGAAGGGAGGCGGCAGAAGGGCTGGCAAGGACCCTCACCCCGCTGGGGCTGCATTGCCCCGCGCTGTACCTGTGGGCAGGACACGGTAGCCCCCTCCTCGACTGCCCAGCTGAGCCCCGTCCTTGCTCCACGACACTTTGGGTGGGGGGTCGCCAGAGGCGTAGCAGGTGAGGAAGGCAGGGGACAGCCGGGTGACAACCACGTCTGTAAGGTCGTCGGCAATGGTAGGGGGCACTAGAGAGGTGAGGAGAGGAGGAAGGTGGGCAGGGCTGGATAGGAATGCTCAAGGGGATCCCATTCCCACGCACACGGGCACAGATATTTCTGTTTCCCCGCTTGCCCATCCCCTTGCTGAGTCCTCTAGAGAGGAATCGACCCTGCAGAGAGCTGGAGTGCACCCACATCACACCCGAGGGGGTGGCAGAACCCAGGAAAGCCACTCTTGGCAAGACCCACAGGTCCCAGGATCTCACCATGAACAGACACCAGAAAGACCTTGCGTGCCTCCCCGGCAGCGTTTGTGGCAATGCACTCAAACTGCCCCTCATCCTGGGGACCAGGGCTGGTGATGAGCAGAGACCCCAAGGACTGCAAACTGCACGGGCAGAATACACACTGGGGTCAGCCCCTGCCCCATAGGGAGCAGCCAGAGGGGCCAAACCCCACCTTACAGCAGGACCCTGAGGCAGGTGCTGTGGGTACCTGTAGGCGCCAGGTGGGAGGTGGGGGTTCAGGGGGTGGCCATCCTTCTCCCACCTGACCTGGGGCTTGGGGGATCCCTGGGCATTGCAGCCCAGCAGGGCTGGACGCTGAGCCAGCAGGGTGAGGTTGGAGGACCCAGGGGGAATGGCAGGAGGGACTGTGGAAGGGCACAGCAGCCGTGAGCAGAGAACAGCAGCACATCACTGCAGCGATGAGAACAGCCCAGCAGCAATGAGTTGCAGGGGGATGAGGGCAGGAGAGATCAGTCTGGCTCCTCCACTTACCCAGGACATGGAGGTCCAGGCCTTGCCGGTCGGTGCCAGCAGGGCTGGATGCCATGCAGAGGTAATAGCCTGAATCCTGGACCTGAACGGGGTGGATCTGCAGGGAGCCATCTGGCAGGAGCTGCAGCCTGGGGAGGGAGAGCAAGGGAGCCCCACGGGGGCCCTGCATGGCTGGGCTGCAAGGCACAGGGACACGTGGCTGGGAAGGGGGTGTGTGCTCCTGCAGCCACCCCTGGCACGTATCAGCTGAGCTGACATGGGGACAGAGCACTGCCCGCCGTGGGGTGACAATGCTGTGTCTGTTCCAGGCACACCGACACACCTACTGACGTGGCATGAGCTGAGGGACAACCCCTGGTGCCACCGACCCACAGAACCTCATACCTCCTGCTCCCATGGAGAGGCAGGAGCTGCCCGTCCTTCCTCCAGGTCAGCTGGGGCACAGGCCACCCCTCTGCCCGACACGGCAGCACCGCTGAGCCCCTCAGCAGTGCCCTCACCTCCTCAGGGCCTGGCTGGATCTCTGGAGCCACTGTGGCAGCACCAGAGAAAGTCAGAAACAGGGCTCAGGGGATAGACAACATTAGCCCGTTCCCATTGTTCCAACTTCAGAACACCCCAGCACATTGAGGACACTCCATAATATTGCACATCCCTGAACTTGCTGCCCCCCAGAGCCTCCATGGTGTGGCACCATCACTCACCAAGAACCTCCACCCGGAGGCGCAGGCTGGTGTCTCCCAGGGCGTTGGTGGCCCTGCAGCTGTACTCTCCACCATCTGCTGCCCCCAGGGCCTGGATCTGCAGGACACGTCCCTCGGCCAGGACCTGCCTGTGGGCATCCTCCTAACCCCCCCAAGAATCCCCCATCAGCAGCTCTCCCCGTGTCATCCTCACCACAAGCATGCTGGGGCTGGTGGAGATGTGTCCCAGTACCATCCCCAGGTGCCACCACATGTACCTGCAGTGGGGAGCCCTCCCAGTGCCACTCAATGTGGGGGGGTGACACAGAATCTTCAGGGCACTCCAGGATGAGGTGCCCCCCCAACACAGCGGTGATGCTGTGGGTCTCTCCGACGCTTGCAGTGCTGAGAGGTGCTGTGAGACACGTGCCAGGTGAGTCAGGGGGTGTCAGCTCAGTTGGGCACCCCCATAGCTGTCCTCATGAGTCACACCAGCTCTGCAGGGCCATCATGCTGTGCTCCAGATTGCCCTAACAAAGGCTTCACAGCCCACACTGCTCTTCCCATCTGCCCCTCAACCATCCCAAGGACACCTGCAGGGGATGCTCCAGCTCTCTGGTCCCCCACCCTGCAGCATCCTCCTCACTGCTACCTTGGATGCTGACATGGAAGCTCCTGCTGTCCTCCCCAGCAGGACTAGCAGCCAGGCAGGTGTACAAGCCAGAGTCTGCCACCTGTGCCAAACCAGCAGGGAGAAAAAATTGAGGCATGAAAAGAAAACACAGATGGGGAGAAGAAAGAGGAACCCGTACCTTTGTGCTCTCGATGTGGAGGGTGCTCTCATTCCCTGACATGAGCCAGGGCCCTGCCAGCAGCTGCCCATCCTTCTCCCAGGTGACAGTGGGCATGGGGACACCAGTCACCACACACGTCAGCTCTAGTGGGGTGCCCACAGCAATGGCCATCTCGGTGGGATGGGGTGCAGCCTCAACTTGGGGTGGCTCTGCAAGGTGCACAGTGAGGTGGGTGGGCTCATCCCTTCGCTGCTCCCAAAAAATGGGCTGGCTGTCTCTTCCAAGTCCCCAGGGGCAGACACGTACCTGTCACCAGGAGGTGGAAGGCTTTGCTGGCCTCCCCCACTGCGTTGGCCACCAGGCAGGAGTACACCCCTGCATCAGCCACCCCCACAGCCACCAGGCTCAGCTCTGGGCCACCTGCCACCTGGTTGCTCTGCCATGCCAAGGGCTCACCGTCCTTCAACCAGGTCACCGCTGGTGCTGGGGACCCAGTGGCTTTGCAGGTGAAGGTGACATCTGAGCCCTCAGTCACCATCTGCTCCTCACTGCTGTCTGGGCTGTCCAGGACAGGGGGCACTGGGGAGGAAGTCATCCTGCTTAGTGGAGCAGCAGGAGCAAAGCCAGGTCTCCAGGCACTGGGAATGAATTTGGCAGCTCCCTGGTGTTCCATGAGCACACAGAGGTGGCTCAGCCCCTTGGCAGGGTGCTCTGGGATTGCCTTCAGCCTGGTCCCCGCTTGCTCCATCCTCCCTGAGCCCACCCTGGCAGCTGAGGACCAGCTCAGTACCCTGCTTAGAAACAGAACTGCAAAGCATAATGTGTGCTTTGCCAGAAAAACTGGTCCTTGGCAGCCCCCCTGCCCTGCTCCCCCCAGGCCCCTCCCTGGCTGCCCCGTACCCTGGATCTGCAGGATGAAGCTGTGATTGGCCACCCCTGCCTGGCTGGAGACGATGCAGGTGTAGAGCCCAGTGTCAGAGACCTGTGCCTGGGAGATCCTACCCCGTGGAGCAGGGGATGGGAAGGAGACATTAGCTCTGGGTCCCTCCTTGTCCCCAGGACCTCCATGCCACCACCCCACCACCTTTGGGGACCAGCTGTGGCCATCCCAGACACAAACCCAGGTACCAGCCCCAAAGCCTGTGGCTGAACATCACTTGAGGGTCACTTCTCACCGGAGGAGGTGCCCAGCTGAGAGCAGGGTGACCCGTGGGGACAGGCTGAGGGGCAGCCCATCCTTCCTCCAGCTCACATGCAGTGGGGGGGATCCCCGTGCCCGGCACTCCAGCGTCACCACCGCAGACAGGACACCACGGACCACCTCCGAGTCATCGTCACCTCTCTCGATGACCGGGGGGACTGTGTGAGGGGACAGAGGGGCTGACAGGGCTGGGGGGGAAGGGGGGGATGGAGCTGGAGCTGCCCCTCGGGCCGCCTGCTCACCCAGCACACTCAGCCTGTGCAGCCGTGCGTCCTCGCCCGCGCTGTTCTGGGCCAGGCAGGTGTATGTCCCCGAGTCAGCGGCTCGGAGACCCTCCAGGAGCAGGGAGCTGCCATCTGGGGACATCCTGGAAGAAGGGCACAGTGCAGTGACCTGTGTGTCCCTCCCTAACCTGCTCATGTTCTGCACTTGGTTGCAACACAGGCTGCAGATTTTAGGGTATCCTACAAGGCCAGTACAAGAGCTGGGACCCCACCAGGATGACAGCGTCCACCACCATCCAGAACCTCAGGGCTTAACCCAAGTTTATGCTCCTCAACAAAGAGCTGGAATAAGCTCATCCCAGCCCAAGCAGGGACACAGGGGAGAAGCAGCAGAGCTCAGCCTGCCCTGCACATGGGAAAACTGAGGCCAGGATGAGGCTGTGCCATCGCTTGCCCCTGGGGTGGTCCCTTCCCAAAAAGACTCACCGGGCTGCTGAAGGGGGCTCCAGCCCCAGAGGCTGCCCATCCTTCAGCCAGGAGATCTGGGGGGTGGGCTGCCCCTCTGCCTGGCACTCCAGCATCACCCCTCTGCCCTCCAGCACACTGTGCTCACTGGGGAACCCTGCGCTGGCAATCCGGGGTGCCACTGCACAGAGAGGGGGGCTGAGGAAGAGGAGAGGGAGGAAGGTTCCCCTCCCGGGGAGGGAGTCCCACCACCCCAGTCAAGCCCTACCTCGCACCAGCACCATGAAGTCCTTGCGTGTCTCGTTGCCTGGACCCCTCACCAGGCAGGTGTACTGGCCCTGGTGGAAGGGCTGCAGGGGGCTGAGCTGGAGCTGGGCCCCCCCGACCACCAGGCCCTGCTCCGGGTTGCTCTCTGTGAGGAGAGGGGTGCAGAAGACTGCAGGGGTGCTCCTCTGCACCTTGTCACACTCCCCCCTCCCCACTCCCAGCACCCAGGTGTGGGGACCCGGTTAAATCAGCACTGCAGGGCAGGGAGGTCGCGCTGAGCCCTGGGGAGCTTTGCAGGAGGAAAGAGCCACTGGCCTGGAGGCAACCCCACCATCCCAGAGAGCTGGTGCTCCTGCCCAGAGAGCTGGTGGTGAGGCTCAGGGTGGCTCATCACCCCCATGTACATACCCAGCAGGCTCCCGTCCTTCAGCCAGGTGACAGCAGGTGAGGGCACAGCAGGGACACGGCAGGTCAGGAGGAGGGGGCTCCCCACGTCAGCTTGCAGCACCTCCTGCTGCAGGTCCTCGGTGCCTGGGGACCCTGAGGAACAGGGACAAGGACTGGGGGTGTGAGAGCAGGTTTGCACCCATGATCTGGAGCACTTCTGCTCCAGCACACCCCAAGAAATGGTGCCAGAGGGGAACTGTCACTGTGGAGGCTGAGGTGTCCCCAGAGAGGAAACATGGACTGAACATCTCGTGCTGTCACCTCAACCTCCTCGCATGGGGGGAGTGAGAAAAGCACAGGGGGATGGACCCAGCCAGGGGGGTTCAGGAGCCACACGAGGCTGCAGTGGGAAGAGCAGGAGGAGAAGGAAGAGGAGGGCATAAATTAGCAAGCTGGGGAAGGTTCTCTGAGGATGCCTTACCCTGCACGGCGAGGGCAAAGTGCTTCTCTGCTGACCCAGCTGGGTTCTCTGCCACACACGTGTAGCTGCCAGTGTCACCCACATCCACTGCAGCCACCTGCAAAGGGGGAGCAGAGCCCCACTGAGGGCTGCCCTGAGCTGGGGAGCTGCTGGGGCTCCCACAGGGACCTCAGCAGCTGGGAAGTGCCAGGCAGC